ATCGTAAATTTCCCTATCAGTTTAATGTGCATAAAATGTTTACCTGATGTTAGTTCCTTCCAGTCAGTCAGTCAGTTGCAGCGTAGAACTTCGTACGTATGTACATAAGTTCATGTTGCCATACCACATTAGCAAAGAGACGCAAATGTCAAATCAAATCCCATAGCGATAAAGATAGTAGAGGTATTAATGCTACAACATGTAGTTTAGAACGGGGTTTAAGGAGACAAGGAACGACGTTTCGCGAACTCGCATCGTTTGCATTAGCTGTGCACTGTGATAAGTGAATGTGAGAACAGTTAGTCGTGGAGATAAGAGAGGTATTACGGGGTGTAGGAGGGATTTAATTTTGACCAATTTGGTCTCGTGTGCTGGTACGGGTATGAGGGCGGTTATCACTTTCCGGTTGCCCACACCATGGAAGGTTTTTTCTTGAGGGACCTGAAAAAGAAGGTAGATTAGTGTTGGTCTTAGAGACCTGGGAGCGTGACCGCAGAGCCAAAGGGACAACTGCTTGAGGCCGGTCACGCACGGCCTTTTTATGAAAGGTTTTTTGAGCATTAGCTCCGCACTTAAAAGCCCTTAGTGGGCACCCTTACCGATGGAGACGGAAATCCGTGAGGTGTGACATTTTTAGGGTCGAACTTTTCTAACCCGACCTTCCTTGTGAGATTTCAGCATCGCTGCAGATGCTGGTTATCCGAGGGAAACACCTTACTGCTGTCACACCCCTCTGCAGTCAGCAGTACGACTTCGCCCTCAGACCTTGGGTAGCAGCTTTTAGTCGCATCGCTCTCCAATCGACCTGCCTGGCATGGTAGAACCTTCAGTAACATAATTTCCAGCCAATATAGCTCGGTTGGGTCATCACGATAGGCAAGCCTGACCACCACGTCAAGGTAGCTGCTTCGGTCGGGTAAAGTTTCCTCTATTATGTATCGTCTCATAACGTAATGTATAATCTTATCAATAATCTCGGTATTACAGACGCTGTAAAACTAACTTTTTCACATACAAATATCTGTTAGTTTCAGTGAAATTGTGTAATACCATTTTTGTTATAGCTTCATCGAACATGATATGTTAGTTTATTTCTAAACCCGTTATTCATCATTAACTTAATGGTCACAGCTGTTGCCAACAGTGAAATGGAATAAATTACTTTCTACTTCATATATCATATCATTGTTGCTTTGTGCAAAAAGAAATACATATTGATTTTATTATGTAAACTACGGCGCAAGAAATGTAAATTATCGGTCATGCATTAACTGTTATCTAATACCAGATATCAAACAAAACATACACTGTTACAAAGTTTTACTATTTCACTACCTTGTAATATGTCTTTTCAGTTTTTCGATATTTTAAAGTGTATTTTTTTCTGCAAATTTAGAAAATTTACTATCCTTTGTCAAAGAAGACAACAAACAACCTAGTTATCGTTCTTAAAGTTGTCTTAGCTTTTCAAAAAAAATGTATATATCTCAGCTACTTCATCATAAATATCGAACTGAGTGTTTTAGAGGATATGATTCGTGTTTAATTATGACATTATGTCTCTTAATTAGTGTAAGCATACCCGTTAGTGAAAAAACATGCATTATTTGCTGCACTAGTCACATTTTCAATTAAATAATAGATACAATTAATAGCATTTTTTTTCTGTCGTTTATGTATGGAAAAAAAAAACTAGTTCCATTCAATCGTGTGTTGTTAGTTTTTCTCACATAAGTGTGTTTACGCAAACATGAAACACTAACTAACACTTTACATTTCAACTGAGTGATATTAAACAAAGCATTATTGAATACATAAATAACTAGATTGGCTTGATAATTTTCAAGCAATTAATCAGCTCAACGACAGGTTCATATTTGACCTTGACCATTTTATTCTCAGTTGATTTCTAGCAATTCTAAAATTTTGTTTAATAATCAAATCAACTTCAGTGTATCTTCTTTGTATTGGTGTGAAGCCTAATGTCTCATAAGTAAGTATCTTCTCACAGTTTCATTTTTCATTGAATCCGACATTTGGTTAAGAAAAATTTTTTATTTAAAAAAATATTATTGAAGAGCATATGAAAACCCTGGTAAATTTCGATTTTATTTTCATACTGTTCGTTGATCAAGTCCAATCACATCATAAAATTAAAATCCTCCTTGTACTCAAACTTCAAAGATATAGTTCTTTCCTTGCTTTCTGTTAGGAATTCGGATTCAAATAGAGACATCTCCCACATACATTCTCCAACATTTCTCTATTTCCAACAAATAGATGTTTTTAAAGCGTTAAGATTTCCTGAAATTATTATTCAAGAAATACTTATGTTGCCTTTGAACTATCCAAAATCAAGCTGTTCTAACAGAGGTACGGTTGTTTTGAATTTTTTTAGATCATGATAAACGACTATCTATTTTGGGGTTTCAGTGAGACTGCGATTTATGGACAACAGTTAAGCGATGCTAAAGTGACCTTGAAAATCTAGAGCTGGATGTAAGTATTGGTAATTACAGTCGGGGGTTGTCATCACGAACTGACATCAGCTATAATGCTGAAATGTTACTTAACTTTATGGATGGATAAATTTTGTGCCAAAATCCAAGACGTGTGATCTTAAATGTGATTGGTTTCGTGCATAAATTACCGATTGTCCTACTACACTTGAGAATTAAGAAATGATTCTCCTAATATGATATAAGTGGTTTTATTGAAGACTCGATAACCACACCTGGTACACTGCACTTCAAGTTAGTTGTTAACACACAAAAAATCGGATTGTTGAAAAACTTCATATTCCAGCAGAATATATTTAAATGGTATAAATCAGTATATGTATTAACGAAAGCATAACCTTTAAACATGCAGAAAATAAGTGAACTAAAAGTAATGACAAACAAACAAAAAAGAGCAGAGGTCAAGTATAAAATCGAATGAGAAGAAAGTTAAAGGCACTTGCCGAATACACAGAAGCAAACAAGCAAGTGAAGAGAGGTAAGGCAAGTGATAGGCTAATATATATGGAAGACCTATGAATAATGGCAGAAGCTACAAGAGAAGGAAATATGAGACAAATATACGATACAAAGAAGGAACCGAGTGGGAAATACAGTAAACCAGAACGACCAGTCAAGAATAAGGAAAGTAAGTCAATTATCAACAATGATTAACAGCAAAACGCGTAGATAGACCACATGAAATACTCTTGAATCGGCCAGCCCCACTGATTCCACCTAACGTCGAAGCCAGCACCTTCGGATCTCCACTAACAATTGAACAGATCAGCTTGGCTTTCTGACAAATCAAGAGCGGCAAAGCAACATGACCAGATAACATTCCAGCTGGGGCATTGGAAGCAGACATAGCAGTAAATTCAAAGATGTTCCACGCTATCTTCGTCATAGTTTGGGCGGAACAACAAGCACCAACCCCATAAAGATTGCAAACGAAGATATTAACAGGAGCAAGATCTACAGAAGCATCACTCTTATCTCAATATTAGGAAAAGCGTTCAACAAAGTGTTGAAAGATTTAGTAGACACCTAACTTAAAGATCAACAGGCTGGATTTCGTAAGGAGCGATCGTGCACCGAGCGAATCGCAACACTACGGATCATTGTGGACAATGAGTTGAATGGAACTCATCACTCTAGATTAACTCCATTGACTACGAGAAAGTATTCATCAGTGTGGACAGGATCGAACTATGGAAATTTCTTCGACACTACGGCGTGCTTGAGAAGATAGTCAACACCATACGGAATTCTTATGCTGGATTAAACTGAAAAATCGTGCATGGAGGACAGCTCACAGACTCGGTCGAGGTGAAGACCGGTGTCAGGTAAGGTTGCTTACTCTCACCATTTCTCTTTCTTCTGGTGATTAACTGGATTATGAAGACGTGAACATCTGGAGGGAAACACGGTATACAGTGGACAGCCAGGATGCAGCTGGAAGACCTGGACTTTGCAGATGACCTGGCTCTTCTATCGCACACGCAACAACAAACGCAAGAGAAGAAGACCAGTGTAGCAGCAGCGGCAGGTCTCATGATACACAAAGGTAAAAGCAAGATTCTCCGACACAACACAATATGCACCAACGATATCACACTTGACGGAGAAGCTCTTGATGATGTAAAAACCTTTACATATCTGGGCAGCATCATTGATGAACAGGTAGGTCTGATGCACATGTAAAGGCGCGGATCGGCAAAGCAGGGACATTCTTTCTACATTTGAACAACATCTGGAACACGGAACAACTGCCAATGAACATCAAAGTCAGAATCCTCAATAAAAACGTCAAGATGCTTCTAATGTGTGGAGCAGAAACTTGGAGAACCACGAAAGCCATCATCCACAAGATACACGTGTTTCTTAACATCTGTCTACACAGGATACTTCGGATTAGCTGGCCAGACGCTGTCAATAACAGCCTACTATGGGACAGAACAAACCAGATACCAGCGGGGGAAGGTAGCTAGGATACACATTGAGGAAATCACCAAACCGCATCACGACGTAAGACCTAACTTGCAACTCTCAAGGTCAAAGGGAAAGATGTAGACCAAGGAACACACTGTAGGTCTGAGAATTCTGTTCGACGGCCTATATTCCACGAGGGGTAACAGACGTAAGTAAGTAAGTAGTAGATAAAGCAAAGATTAGTTATTATAATTGCAAGATATTTTTCATTATAGAAAGCACTTTTTAAATGGTTCCTACAAGAACCACTGAGAATCTTAATTTACATTTAATGTACAAATCAACTAAAAATATATATACACTAAATAGTTAAGAGATTTCAGACTTTACAACGTCTATATGTGTTCTTTGCATTCGTTATTTAAGTGTCCCCAAGTTAGATTCATCTAGCTGATTTGAAGATTCAATATTGTTTACATTAAATTGGTAGTCATATTATTTCTCGATGTTTTCACTTCAGTTTGTTGTTACTGAGTGCTTTTCTTTCATCATGACTTTTGAATCCTACAGAAGTTGAAATCCACTCATCAAATACACTAACTCCATCAGATTTAACGAATCGCAATAATACTTCATATCGTAAACAAGATGTAGAAGTAACGTCGATGGAACCTGTTTCTTTCACATTGACCACTGGATCCACACTGTCTGTGAGTCGTTTTATTCTTTATTATTTAAAAAATTTGTATCAATTCTTAATACTGGAAACACAAAGATTCTAAACTTTTGTACACATGCATAAAAGTATTTCATTGGTTTTAAGTAAAATCGACATTTTATATCACGGCATCTCATGAACTGAAAACAAATCAGCTTATAACTGATCAATCGGCCCAAAATAAATTGAGCTTGAAATAATACAGTAATAATAATGGTAATAAAGAAAAAATACGGAAACATACTACAAATCCCAATTAGAGTTAATTGTGACAGAATTTTTGACTAAACGATCAATTAAATTAACCTTGAAATAGCTTTGTAGGTTCAAACATGATTGGAAGTTTTACATTTGTACCAATTCAACTTTTAGTTATTTTACTAAGTTTTTTAATTACTCCCAACTTAGTTTGAATCATCGCCTTCACGTGTGATTAATAAACATTTCGGAATGCTATCTTTATCAAAGAGTGACCAAAGCTATAGATAAGCCCTCAACCAATACCTAAATCTTTAGCACACTATTTGTTACCAACCAATCACTTAGACTAATCTCTACGTCTCACTCAATAAAATTTCCATAGGATGCAGAATGCTTGTAAAGTAGATTAAAAACATTTACTATTTCTGAGATTTAAACCCGTCTCATTACTTATTGTTATTTTAGTCATGCATTCAAGTGACAGAACCACCGTTTTCTGTTTTGGAAGATATTAAGCCGACTGATTTTATGAACGAGAAAACACGTCCAAGAAACTTCACTGTGAATAAATCACACGGACAAGAAGCAAGATTTGCTCGAAATGTTGTTGGAGATTCTGCTCCGCCAACATCTACAGTTTCAAATGAAACAACTCCACATCCTTCGTCATTACACAAAATAAGACATTTATCACAACAGCGAACATTCCATATTCATCCTAAGCTGCCTGAAACATGGGATGGTATCCCCTCTCATGAGTCTGGTATTCGAGCTTTATCCCCTCCAAACTACAAGCAGAACTCAGTGTCCGATGCCTTTCTACAATCCTACCTTCTACATAATACAGATTTGTCTCAATCAAAACAAACAGATTCTTTCCGACCCCACGTTCCTCCACGGCCTATTCCAAAAGCACCTTGTACGGCATCACAACCTAGTGGATTCGAATTCCAGTCACATCAGTCCATCTTGAATTCAGGTAACCAAATTATTCCAACAAAGTCTAGTTTGTCTTCTGATACAACAAAAAACAAGTTCACATGTGACTTAGAATCTGATATTTATGTCAACACTTCGAACATGTCATCTTCACCACGACCTGCTGCATCTATACCAATGACTAAAACAAGACAGCTACCTCAAGATTCGCTAAACGGTGATAAGCAGAGTGTCACTGAAGTCGTTAATGACAACAGTTTTGAAAGATCATCTGTCAAATATGGTTTAAGGTAAACTCAGTAAATACGTTTGTTGTTGATTTTCAAAAGATGAATAATTTTATTCTCGAAAACGGAACCTGGAGTCTTACCGAAACATTTTATTTGTAAAGTCTTTACAAAGCGAATTTTCTTTCTAGCCATACTTAACTTTTCTAGTCACGTCAGCCATTTCTAGTGGTTTCAATTATCTGTCAAGTGATTTTACTGACTTGAACATTAGGTTGTTTAGTGTGCTATCAGCTTAATCACTTGTATCCTTGGTCGCACGATTTCCATGAATATCCAACTACATTCAGGGTCATACATATATTGATTTCGAACTGATTACCAAGTTGATGTCTAAGCGTCAAAACTAGATCCCATTAACCAAACCATCACTACTGGATAACGCAGTACTGTTAATTACTTAGTCATTCGATGAATAATTGCAGGGTTGTTGTCATATGAGTGTAATTTTGTTTAGAATACTTACTATCAACATCCATCTTCTGATTAATATCTGAAACTAATTGATTGATTGGAAAAAGAGACCGAACTAATTCTTCACGTAACACAGTTACATTATGGCGTTGGATTTTGTATGTTGCTTTTTCCTCTTTTAATTGCAGTTCTTGTAATGAAACTAAAAATTCTATACTACCAACACCACCTCAAATTTGCGAAAACTTGGAGGCTGAAGTACCACCTATTCCCCCTCGAACGCCACGCGTGCGGATAGTTGATATTGATCAGTTATGCGCAGCATGCAACGCCAAACTAGGTAATCCCAATAAACCTATATATTTGATCCATATGCTTAACAATTCATCCATCACATTCTAGAATCATTCACAGTTTTATATTATCTGTCATATTAGCTATGAGCAGAAATGATAAACTAGAATAAAACAGCTTGCATTTGTAAACTGAATAGTATTGTAAGAGGTGTGTTGAACTATCGCGTCATGAGGATCACTTATTTATTGGAATATTTTCTCACAATCCTTTCAAATAAAGTAATCGACTATCCTACTTTATATCCCATACAACATTAGTTTGTTGTCTAGTTTTGTCTGCACATATTCTACAAGAACTTAGAACATTCACATAGATCTGAACCATTTGGTGCCTTAATAGTTAAATGACTTGAAACAGATAATAGCTTGATTTGATCTCCTTTTTGTTTACTTTGTTTTGAGCAGCCCAGTAGCTGTAATTCAGTTATGTTAACTACTTTCAAGTCCGTTTATAAATAACTACTGTATGGAAATTGAATGAAGAAAATACTCTGAACGATGATCAACCGTTCAGCTAAAAAAATTAAGGTTAGATCTAGCAATTTGCAGAAACTTCATTCCAACTTTCAGCCACTGTGAATGCGAACTTTATACCGGACCTGTAAACCTCAACTACTTTGAGTTTTTAGGTCCTTATCAACATGTACCCGTTGAGATTTATTTCTAATTGTGTTTTGTATCAAACTCAAGTTTTCATACGAATTCAAAGCAGTTGTAGTAACTTAATATATTTTACTTGAGCCCTCGAAACATTTACAACCTTCATGGATACTCTTCTTTTTAAGCGATGTTCGCGGCTTTCTTTAGACTAGATCAAGCTTTGAATTTTTTGTGTATTTTCAACTTAACGTAATAACTTCGTGTTTTTATTAGTTTGCTATCACTAAGCATTAGTCTTCCACTTAGAATAAACACTTCTAGCCGCCTTGCTCAGTACAAACAATAGATACATATATTAGCACCAGAGCAGTCGAGCCATAAGTAACCCCTGTATTACCTAATAGCTCACGTAGATCCACTGTGATGGTCGGATTTCATCCATTCTTGACTGCCGCAAAAGAACAGATACTTACTCTGGGGATCCTAGCATGCCCTAATCGACAAAGACCAGTCATCAAATGGGATCATAGCTTTCTAATTGTCGCTATCTCCTAACCAATTTGCATATCCCTTTTAATGTTTAGCAGTAAAAAATTTGCAGTTATTTGAGTGATGTTGGTTTCCAGTTTTTGGACGTATCTCTAGTTAGTATAAACATTGAAAGTTCAGTTTGTGTAGATTAGCAGTCACCTTAATTGTCGATTGATTAGAATGATTTATTTCATTCACTTTCTAACCAGATTCCGAGGACTCAATGGTTATCGAATCTTTAAATCTATACTATCATTTACCATGTTTTGTATGTGCAAGATGTGGAATTGCGCTAGGAGATGGTCTATCAGATGTTGAAGTTCGTGTTCGACGTAACTTGCTTTACTGTTCAAATTGTTATTCTAAAACACTCACCGTATCAAACTATAACAAGAACGAATTTCGTCCAAAGACACAAAGTGTGCAATCCAACTCTCAACCAACAAAACCACCTAGACCTACCGATAAACGACACCGAAACGGTTCAGAACAACAGTTACCCCATAATTTTAATAAAGTAAGACCTGATAATATTTCATAATTTTAATAACATTACTACTTACCTATGCTACAATATGACTGGTATATAAGTTCTAAACCGTAGACATTGAAGCAGTTCACTTTTGATACCATGCTTGTAAATTAACGAATAAATATTAGAAAAACTGTAAGTTATCGGAAGTTGGTCAGACCTATTAGGACAGCTGAAATTTGGTTGTTGACATTAACAAATACACATTTTTACCATGTAACAGACAGACAGAGACAACGCAGAACTTCATACGAAAGTACATCACTTCAGGTTGCTATACCACATCAGCACAGAGAGGCAACTGTCAGTTCAAATACAATAGTGATAGCGATAGTAGAAGTATTAGCAGTAATGGAGAAGATTAGGGAGCGAAGATATGATTCGAGAAGTATAACTCAGTGAGATAAATTTAGAAGGAGAAAGATAGAGATTATGAGGGATTCAGAAGGTTAGAATTAAAACGAACACAAAGAGTGGATGAACCTGCGCCGTCGCAAACGATTTTGAGCCATGTCGTTGAAGGTCTCTAACGATTGGTGACTTTCGTCTCGCGGACCCCAACCAGGTAGTCTACATCTACCAACATGACTCAGTCCACTTGTCAGTGACTTCATTGATTTGTGCCGTGTTTTGGTTTAGCCGCCCCTAGCTTTTTCCAACCTACTCATACACTACACAACATAGCTCGACGAGGCAGTCGGTGGTTAGGCATTCATAGCACATGTTCTAACCAACTCGACTGATGAAGTTTCACTACTTCATTTATTGATCTGACGATGCCCACGTGCGTAGTTAGCTTCAAACATCGATAACGAGTATTAAATAGTGACGAGTTGTCGCCAAATTGTTGGCCTAATGTCTGAACTGTCCCAGAAAATGAACGACTTCGTGGGTTCAAAGGCAGGATCAAATTGCAGTACTTATCCAGCTCACTTGCACCCAACTTTCGAAGTAGCAGCCAAACCTTCCAAGCATCATCTTGGTTGGCGAAATCAAATTTAAATAAATCTTCATAACGCCGGAACCACATGTCAAACGTGACATTGGCATCAGGATCATAATGAAATTCAGATATGCTATTTGCGATGCCGTCGACCGATGGAGCTGGGCTGTGTGGAAAGGGAAATCTTCATGTCTGTCAACATCTGCATCAGTTTAAGCTGATGCTCAAGTAATAATTGAAGTTTGACAGGATCCATGTTTCCAAAATTACCATCGCTAAATATTGGGTTCGTCACTAAGTATGCTCGAGGCTATTACGAGTTTACCTTAGTCGATAAACGCGAACGAGACAATTTCCAGCGTCCAGGTAGGCTACCTTGAATCGCAAGCTGTAACAGAAGTCTTTGTAAGCGTAGAAAGTATATTCTACAAACACCCAGCAAGCACAATATAATCAAGCACACAACTCTCGTTTATTTATACATCACAGAAACGTCCTTGGGACAGTCACGAAAATAGCACACTAAAATATACAGCAGCCAATCACAACCATGGATTTTCCTGGTGGGAAATGAAATCGCAAGGTCAACTGATCAGCCCATGCTGGCAAACGTGAAATCCGAAATAAGGCATTTATCAAGCGAGTTCTGGGGATCTAACATCCCCAACACGGTTTTCCCAGGATACACGAGCAATACTTCGGAGACACCGATGATCGAAGACTAGTAACCTACGAAAGTCCTCTACCCTTAACGGCCATGTTTCACATCCGTATAATAGGACGGAGCGAACTGCCGAACAGTACAATCGTCCTTGCATCTTGACTGTTGTTCGCCGCCGTCCGAGAGGATACCTTCTGGAACGAAGAACAGCTTGTGACTGAGTTTCTTCTCGTGGCGGGGCTGCTGGTAGGTTGAAGGTATCAAGCAGGATGTCAAGGGGAAGGTTTTCTGCTCTTGATGGGGGATCTGGGGTTAGCCGTTTGCGTATCTGATTTCGATGACGTGACCGTTTATCACCTCCTGCCTCCACTTCGTACATAACTCGCCAACTCTTCTGACCACTCTCGCTTCTATCCAAGGACTATGGTTCGTTCTGTAGTCACGGGCAAACACAGGGCATACCACTTCGTAAGCGGATTGTCTTTGCAGCTTTGTCTCTACTGATGTTGATGCATTAGTCGCATGCATCAAGCTGTGGATCGTTTTCAGTCTTCTTCCCATCAGAATTTCTGCTGGGGACTTTTGCTCTGGTGACAACTCATTTGATGTTGTTCGACAGACGTACAAGAAATTTTGCAACGCGTCAGCTCTTGTCCCCTCCCCTCTTGACTAAACCAATGCTCTTTTAAACGTATCCACAAACCTTTCCGCCTGCCCATTCGATTGCGGGTGGTATGGTGGCGAGCATAAGTGTTTAATGGCTGGCCGTTGACAGAAAGTTTGGAATTGGAAGAGGTAAATTGAGAGCCATTGTCAGATACGACCACATCTCGTATGTCATTTCGCGAGAAAATCTCCGTTAGAAGCTGTATTGTCTTAGTTGTAGTGTGCGGCATTATAGGGCTGATTTCTGGTCATTTTGAGAAGGCGTCGACCACAATTAAATACATAGTTCCATTAATTAGACCAGCGAAGTCGACATGTATCCTGGACCACGGATGCTTGGGTTTGGACCATGAGACCGGCAAGATTTTGGCACTCATCTTTGCCGCCTGCTGACACCGCATGCATTTTTCAACCAACCCTTCATTCCTTGTGAGAAGGCAGCATCGCTGCAGATGCTGGTTGTCCGAGGGAAACACATTACTGCTATCACACTCCTCTGCAGTCAGCAGTACGACTTCGCCCTCAGACCTTGGGTAGCTGCTTTTAGTCTCACCGTTCTCCAATCGACCTGCCTGGCATGGTGGAACCTTCAGGAACATATGTTCCAGCCAATATAGCTCGGTTGGTTCATCACGATAGGCAAGCCCGACCACCACGTCAAGGTAGAAGCTACGGTCGGGTTACGATAGACAAGCCCGACCATCACGTCAAGGTAGAAGCTTACTTCGGGGCCATGTAATGGGGAAATCGAAATCGCAAGAACGATCTGGAATATACATTATTCACTACACTAGCCACGGAGGTAGATAACTAGTGAAGTGATTCAGAGGTTTTGAAAGTACCTTACGCTGCAGATAGATTTTTGAACTCATAAATTACAACAACTGCTAGCGCTGGAAAAAAGACGTATGTTTCACTGGTCATCAGACCGATTTTCAAAATTTCACTGAATAATGAATGTATAACATGCCCACTATAAGTTCTACTTCCAAATTTTGTAAGTCTTTGGGTTTACATATCGTGAGATTGTACTATAAATTCTATGCCTCTTACTTAATTTTCGATTTGATATCGATTCGTGAAAAGAACAAAAGCTAAAGTAGCACTAGATGGAATATTCAGTTGATTATTGAGCAGTGACCAATGTTGTATTTGTTTAATCCTTTAGTGCTGATTAAACCTTATCAATCAGATTGCAATATAGCTGCTAGTCGAAGCGTTCCGAATAGACCAGCGGTAAAGCTCCAAATTGCACAGTTAGGTGACGCGGGTTCGAATCCCACAGAGTGCTCTTCGCCTCAAGATTACAGTTACACTTTACCTACGGGTGTCGAATAATACGGAACCTAGGTCCAGGGGTTTTTTATTAACTACCTCCGACCCCTTAACTTTAGAACACTAAACTGATTCGTAAAAAGGTTTGAATACAGTGCCGTAGTACAAACTATATTTAACCATGTTATAACCATCATCTATTAAAGTTCACAGGTGTTGCATGAATTATGCAACGAAAAACTTGGCTAGTGATCAGATCCACGTATTTACTCGTTTCTAAATGTAAACCTTATTTTAGATTGAAACCTTGTGGTTATAAAAACAAGTTTTCTTGGCAAGTTATAAAATATCAGTTGATTTTCATAAAAGTCACTTTTGTGTTTATCATGGAGTGATTTGATTGCGTTATTTTGAAAAAATCAATATAATCTTACTGCTAAAACACATTAATTGGCTTTTTAAAATTCTAACATAACGATAGTATTTCTATACTGATTTACACATAAGAGGTTCATGGAAAGTTAACACAATGAAACTGACATTATGTTTATTTCTTTCAGCACCATATTCAATAAACTGCCTTCGTTTTTCCCTTGTTTTCACAAAACGAACACAATCTTACAATATTATGCACTATGATTGACAATTGGAGCTTAATAACTGTCATTTCGATGGGTTCAAACCGAAAATTTAGATCACTAAGTGGCTTCGTAAGATTATTCCCACTCATTTATAGATTTGAGCTATGATCTGCACTTTTATCGTTCATAAAAAATGAAGCTATAATTTTGTATGCATACTTTTTTTGCTTAACAAAATTCTCTTATTTTGTTACTATTGCTTTTACGAATGATTTGTTAGCTATCCTATAGAAGATTATATATATATATAACACTTAAGTTTTTCTAATTGCGACTGTCAATATTCACAGTTATGTACAATCCTTTTAAAAATACTGTCATCTAAACTGTATAATCGTTATATGTTTTTGACATGTCTTGAGAAACTACTAGCGAACGTTTTTAGTAGCATTGAAGCATCTAAGTAATGATGTAAGGCAAGATAAAATTAATTTTATTCTAGGAAACTTTATTAGCGATTAAAACACGTTTATTATTTAAAGTTTACAAGCTATTTCGTTCCTTAAGCGGGGCCCAAAAGTAAGGTGAACGAGATTTTTGAATTCTCCTGAATGAAAAAACAATACTTAGTGTGCAATATACTCACATACCTAGGTCGAAAATGGAACCATGGGACACCAAAAGCTTTTGATAGTTCCACTACAGTAGGTTCTGCAGAACTTTTGATTAGTGTATCGGGTACATTAATTTTTAGAGGAGAAGTTGGAGTACGTAGAGATTTTACATCATGTGAAATAGGCTGAAACAAAATGATGGAGTTGGAAAGCCTACTTTAGTACATTCATAGGGAACTTTTCTAACCGGATGCCAACAAATAACAACTGCTCCATCAGGGGAAATAGTTATAGCTGACTCACCACTTCAAAATGACTTACACAAAAATAAAATACCTTTCAATCAATTCTTTTGACGACCTATGAACATAGGTTGCATTGATTTGAAGTAGTTTCCTAGAAATAGTAAATATGGACTAAAATTAAATTAATGACAGATATGCCACATAAAAATATTTATTTACAAAGAAATAATGCTGTTTCTTTACTTAATTATATATGGCTTATATATATTGCACGAAGCCCAGTAATGCAACCTGACTCCACGAACCTTAGGTTAGATCCAAACATATGATCTATCTGTTGAAAAAATACTCAAACCTATTAAGCGATGTCACTATGCCAGTCGAGTGATAAAACAGTCGTCTAAGTGATCATTGTTCTACCTGCTAAGTGGTATAATAATCAGATTATAGATCTTAAGAATATTACTTACAATAAGCATCTGAATTCGGAACTGGTTTATTCTGGAAGGGGATTCCCACTTGACTACTCTTGGCTTGCTTCTCACTCAGATGAGGAATACATGCAATAAAAAGCATTGTAACCCGCAGTCATAGCCTTATATGTATATCAGTTCCTCAAACTTCGTTTGGAAGATACAGATTGATCAAAACAAGTCTCACTAACGCCAACTGTTGATATTTTTCACAAACTAGGATGTTTATCATATATTACCAGCTTTCTACTTTTAGATGCAACTTTTGTTAGACAATTTTGATGAAAGTCTTAAATGTGACATAAACAAAGTAATTATCAATCCATAACGTATAAATGTACCATTAAAAATATTGAGGCAGAATGGGTTTTTCGTATTTCTAGCTGTAAATTTAAAGTGACGACATGAACTTATGTTTCTTTCTGATTTAAAAAAACGAAAGTGTACAACTCACCTATAAATGGACAATACTGCTTTCGATGTCAACATTTGTGAAGAAACTAATCTTTGTTAGAGTAAGCAGCTAAAACAAAAAAACAATTGACTTTCCAGTATTTTCAGAGGAATATATATCGATAGATAAGTCTAGTCATTAGAAAAATTATATGTCGGCAGATACTAAACTACATTAAAGATTTCAAGCAGGCGAAATTAAGTCACCCAAATGACCAAGTTGCAGTAGTCTAAAACCACTAGACTGTTTGATCGTCCATTTATTATTGTTACTTGTGATATATCACTAAATAATAAGCAACAAAGATTGTTTTAGCCACGACACACTAAGTACCCATTAAAATTACTGCATATAATATGTCCTACTAATTTTAATGTATGAAGGCTTAAACCTTTATCGGCCAGCTTGGCTTTCTTTTTGAGTTTCTTCAGACAAAGGCCAGTTTACCTGAACAAATTTTATCATTTAATTTAGAGATATGATCGATGTGAGAGGACGCTTATGAGAATGCTTTTAAAACAGCCAATGAAAAAGTGGAAATCTGTTTGAAGCACTGTCAATAGATAGAATAGGTACATATGAACTCTAGCATGAAGTTTCATGGTAGATCAAACTTACATCACTGCATCCATGAAAAAAAGATAGTGATATCAGAAGTAATAAAAAAAGAATAAAATATGTGAAAACAGGATGAAAAGCGTAAAAATTAACAATAAACAGATTAGTATCGTTAATCCTTTACTCAGTAAATATTCAGGTATTTTACTTATACAAAAGATCTGTTCATAAAAGCGGATATTTCTCCAAACACTCAATAGGGATTATCTTGCTTATGAACTCAAATTATTACAGGCTGATACTAACCAGATAGGCCTGAAGACCAGTACATTGAATAGAATCGCAACTAGTCTCAGCGTCTTGGATTACAGCCTTTTCTACCTCTTGGCTGTTTTTAGTGGCCTTTTTCATTTTAATTATGAATAATCCAGTCGTTGACATTCCGATCGTACCACAGATTGACCTTAGATGACAGAATAACATCATAATGCAGCGTTATAGCCAACATGACACGACTGACTTGTTACCTAAGATAGTTGATTGTATTTCCAGAGGTTTTACGGAGTGACTAGAGGACTAATCTCACCTGAAGACGTAGCATGTATTCGCTTGGTTTTTAAGAGCCGAGCCTCCAGTTTAGACTTTTCGCAAGTCCGGTAGGAGGAATATCACACATTAGTGACCGGTGTCTTATTTAAATTTTCTCTACTTTAGAGTATTTGGCTGAATTAATTTTGCGTGAAAACTATCGTAGAAATTGGTGATGCTTATAGTTTATTACTTAATAAGTGAATTTATCATGCACTTCAGCATAAAATGTAAACAAGTGATAAGTTAGTGTCTATTTCCACTAATGAACTTTACTCAACAAAGCTGTTTTTGAGATTCTTTCTAGGAAATCAGATATCATAATCCCTCGGCTATTTAAAATCGTCCATAGTATATCTAAGGAAGGCCCTACAATCATGTCTTCTTACCAGGTTGAGTTGATAAGGTTGAATGTGTAAGGAGCTAAACAAAATTTTATGGGGACTATCTTGCAGTAAGAGCCAATAAGCGGTAGAATCCCCTACTATCATAGTATTAACAACTTAGGGTAACTCTTGCTAAAGAATCCTCAATATCTATGTGGTATGTGTCGAGATGACTTAGTGTAATTAGTATGTTATGACGTTTCCATACACAAACGATTCCTTTGTACGTTATTCAGAGTCTAATTCGAAATACAATACTTTCGTTTGTACTCACAGTTCTTTCTGAGTACAGTACTGGTTCATGCATGACTAACACAGTACAAATTCAACATTTCTGTGTGATACTAGTTCTTTTACGGAATACAGATGCTCATTAATGCCACAGTAATATTACCAAATCAATTTTCTATTTTCGTACAGCCCAACTAGAAATTATAATCGTATTAATTATTCCAGCTGCTGGAATTTCAATGCAATGCTAGTTTCAGTGTACATCATAATACTTACTTCGTTAATTTATGTGTACATTCCGAGTAACAACCTGCTGCGCATTATCGCTTGCAAACTTGAAAAAATACCCGGCAACTAACCTTGAGGTACGAACGAAAACTGAACTAGCCGCGTTTTTAATCAATATCCAATATCTTTTTCACGAGATAGTGTAAACCAATTTGATTTCTTCGCGCTCGATTCTTGTTTTTTCGGCACGTTTCCAGGCAGTTGGTTGTGAGTTTGTATGTCTCGGGATTTGAATGAAATCGTTTGTTTTAGGGTTGTAGGATTTCTGGATACTTGCAACCGTCACATTACCAAACCGGAGATAAGTTAGTTACAATAAGGAGAGTAATAAGGGTAATAAGGATAAAATTCTATTGATAATATGAATAAAATTTGAGAACCGAGTAATATATAGGTGAGTTTATTTTGTTAATTGGTAGTGAGGATTGTGAGAGAGGACGAAGTGTAAGCAAGGGAGAAGAAACAGAGATAATAGTTGAGATAGATTAATTGAGTGATCTGAGGAGACGGCAATGGTAACAACTAGCAGGCCTCAAGATATGCATCATGAACAGCTTGCCCAAGAGGGAGATGATAGTCCGTATGTGAGCACGTGATTATCAAGTCTCTTCTTAAAGCAGTCCGCTGAAAGGGCTGTAACTACCTCGGCTGAGAGAGCATTCCAAGTTGAGACGACTCGCAATGAGAAAAAGTGTGCACGAATCTGAGTATTCACTCTTTGATGTGTAATCTTTCGAGGATTGCCTCGAGGGGAGTGGTGGTGACGCATCGGTAAGATGCTCACATTGGGATGGTTTGGCGTGTTTGATATGGTGTACGCCATAATCAGGTCACCTCTGATTCTCCTGTAGCTCAGTGGGACTAATCCCAAGAGCTGGAGTCTATCGTCGTAGGGTTTATTTTTCAACCCTATCACTCATTTCGTTGCTCGTCTCTGCACTCGATCCAATAGATTAATGTCTCTTTTGGGCAGAAGGGGTGCGATGACGTTGTGAACCTCCAAGTATGGGCGCGCATACGTCTTAAACAGGGTTAAAAATAATTTCGGGGTGATAGCACCAAGCTGTCTTCGCATAAAGTGAAGAGTCGCATTTATCTTAGCTGCATCCCCTACATAGTTCGGACGCGTGTGGAGGCTTTCTGTGGTTACTAAACCAAGATCGCGCTCTGAGGAGACATAAGCTAGCGGACTTCCATTGAGGTTATAGGTCGTTTGCGTCATATGAGGCAGGAAATGCATGACGTGGCACTTCGGTTGGTTGAGTTTTAAACCGTTTTTCACTGCCCATTTCTCAATAGATGTAAGGTCCTTTTGAAGCTCAGTCGAATCCTCTTCGCTTCTAATGGACCTCCAGATCTTCGCATGGTCCGCGTAGATCAATGCCGGTGAGCTAACTGAGCCTAGCAGGTCGTTAATAAATATCAGGAAGAGGAGTGGTCCTAGGATGGTCCCCTGTGAAACTCCCGAAGTGGATACTCTCCATCTCGCGTGCACTCTGTTTACCTTGATGCGAAACTTTCTATTCTCAAGGTAGTTTCTGAGCCAAGATAGGAGTGGGTCAGTGAAGCCCATTTCCACAACCTTTTCGATTAGGCGTGCGTGGGGCACTGTGTCAAAGGCTTTTGCGAAGTCGAGAAATACTACGTGCACTGGTATTTTACGGTCGAAGCAGGGATGTCCAACTGTCCCATGCGATGAGAAGATTAGATGCACACGATCTGCCTTTCCGAAACCCGTGTTGAGCTTCATGGAGTATTTTATTCTTATCCATGTAATCCCTCATTTGTTCGTCCACTAGTCCTTCCATAACCTTTAATAATAATAATAATAATTTATTCTCAAATAACTAAGTTACAAGAGTCACGCCAGTTTACAGGCTAGATCAAATTGTCACAAATGCTTTTACAATTACTATAAAAGTTATAGCAGTTAAATTAAGTATAAGAGACAGTTTCTGATTGCATATTTACACCATATCACTGACAGAAACAGTATTATACAGCCACATTTTCAATATTAGAGTACAAATGAGGAAGGTGCACAATAGCTTCTATTGGCGATTGGCCGAGATCAATAGTGAATTTGTTGGGAAAGGTCATATGGAACGCGCTTGATACGAGCTGTGATCCAGACAGTCATGTACCTAGGGTGCATGTTCCCTAGAGTTGCCAAGGATTTCCCACCGTGAATGGGGTTCTGAAAAGGAGAAGAGAGAGAGGAAAAGGCAGCAGTGTGGCAAGTGTATATATATAACCAAAGCACTACTTAACCTGTAATGTTGAAGTAGTCAATACAGTAGTAAGTCAAGATAACATTCATACTGACCACTTAAATTAAAGTAAATTATGGGAATATAAGAATATAACGCACAGATAAAGGAGTACAGCAAAAAGAAGGGAGAGTTATGCAGTATCAGGTGGATAGAAGAGAAGTCGAAGTAAGAAGCTGGATTTATGTAGGTTGAAATCGAAATTCTAGTTAAAAGAGTAGAGTTTGTAAAAATAAATATTTGACGAATAAAATCTCGCACTGTCTAACTGTTTTTTTTCTTTATTATTGAATGCCAACCTCTAAGTCATACTTTGATAATATAGGTAGTAGTGCGACTTGTCTGTAACAGGCTGGGTCCTTTCTATTTCCTCCTTTGAAGATTGGAGAGAGAGTAGCTTGTTTCCATTCCGCTGGGAATTGGTGTGACTCCAGTGAATGCCTGAACAGGTTGCATAACGGTGAACAGAGGGCTTCAGCGCACTGTTGCAAGACTAAAGGGCGGATTTTGTCGCAACCTGGTGACTTACCTGGGCGTAAGGATTTTAGTTCCCTTAATACTAGGTCAGGAGTGATACGGGTGTTCCCTAAGCCGTCAGCTGGCATTGGGTTGGCGTAATACTCTGAACATGTAGGCGCCTGGTTTAACTGATCAGAAAAATGGGCGTTGAAGATCTCGGCCATCTCTAGGTTGGTGAGGTCTTCTCCGATTAGTCCTTTTAGAGAACACAACCCTTGATTAGTAGGCTTTCTTTTGGACATGAACCTAAACAGATGTTTTGGGTTTGCCTCTATTCTGGCGGCTAGCTTCGTCTGGAATTGTCTCCTGTCGCTTCGAACTTTGGTATTGCATCTATTTCTCAGTGCCAAGTAAGAACTGCGATCGGAATCCTTCAAGGAGACCTTCCACTTGTACCAGGCTTTCCTCTTCGCCTGCAGCAAGCGTTCAGTGCCGCGCCTAACCCAGGTTCTTCTGTTCTGGCGTTTGGGGTGTTACTGAGGTACATTGTCTTCGACAGCGTTTTGGATGACATCTCTCACTACTTGCCAGTGATCATCTACTGTCAGCCTCCACCACTCCCGTGGCCACGGGGCATGTAGGAGCACCTCTCCCATGCGTGTGTGTTTTGCCCTACTGTAGCAAATGTAAGGCTCGTTATCGTCCGGTGTCAGCGTTTCGTTTGTGACCATGTTAAACAGGACTGTGCCATGGTCACTACTACCTATTGGAGCGCGGACGTGAACATCCTCTACCAGGAGCTGGTCATTCGTTAACAGATAATCTAGGTTTGAGGGCTTCCCTTCCTTAACCCACCTAGTGGCGCTGCGTACGTGCTCAGTCAGCCCAGAGCTTCTAACGGCTGTACCAAGTTGTCTTTGGAACCAACCAGTGGGAGTTATACTCTGATTGCTGAGATTTAAGGATGGGGTATTAAAATCTCCAGTTAAGAGTATTTGATCAAACCCTAGGAGTGGCAGTTGCAGTATTACCTCAATCAGTTTGCTTTTCTGGGCCTTAGTAGCCGAAGAAGTTCGGTAAATCCCTCCAATCAAGTATTTCGTGCGGAATCAACACCAACATGATTCTGTCACCTCAGTTAGTTGGGTGTCGTATAGTCGCTCTGCTTTTAAGTTGTTATATATATATATATATCGCCACTCCACCTTCAGTTTGGTGTTCCCTATCGCTTCGGAAGAGTGTCATGTCTGCTAAGCTCACTTCTGCGTCTGCAATGTCAGGAGATAGCCATGTTTCAGTTGGGATTATGATCTTCAGATCCATCTGAGAGCACATATTCCTGATTTCTAACAGCTTACCCCTTAGTCCTCTTACGTTGCTATAGAGGCACTGGTTGGTTTGTCTCAGCACCTGGTGCACATTTGCAGCAGCACCCGTTATCGGATTTTCAGACAGGTCATTTAAACCAAATCGGCCAGTTCTGTGGGAACTGGCCTCTGCAGGTTTTTTGCCTGCGCGGTTGGTTCACTCATATCTTGTGCCAGAGGTAGTTGACCGAGTTTAACTATCAGTTGTGTGCATTCATTTTAGCCTCCCTGCTGTTGTCTCACAGATCTCGCAACATCTGATGTGGTTAGACAGATCGTTCCTCGAACTGTACCAAGCTTGTAGTGTTTCGGTCAGGTCTTCCCGGTTCCTAAATGTTACAACCATCAGGCGTGGCGACTTGATAGACGTTAGGTGTGACGGGCGGGGCAACCTGGAAATGCAAACTGCCATTGTGGTATGCAGGGATAGGCTACGCGATAGCCATCGCCACTGTTGCACATCGTGCTCGTGAGCTTCGTCCGGGTTACCGCTGGTGAGTTCGGGTATACCGTGAACTATCATGGAGGTTTGTTCTTCGGTACCTGGCGCAGTTCTGGCTGCTGCACGTACCGGCCACGGCTTCTCATGCCTGATACGAATCAGCGAGGACAATTTGACCGATGGTCTTTGGGATGAAAGGATAATGTCTTCAGCAAGTCGTGCCGAGTCAAGAGTTAACCTCATTGGAGGGGGTTTTCCTTTCGATGCATTTTGGCCTTTGAAAAGGCGGCGTATTTTGGCTGGGACGTCGCACAGTCCGAGGGTTGAGCAGAGTTTATCCGACTGCTCTTTGTCGAAGGCAGCCTGTGTAAATGGATTTCTACGGTGGCCGTTCCAATGGGTTCCAATAGGTGCACTCCTGTACTCGTTTCTCCCAGTCCAAAGTTCCGATAAAGCAAAAATTCTAGGAGAAAGCGTCTTTATTAATAAAAACATGGAAATACAAAGCAGTACCTGGAATTAATACACCTTCCAGGATACAATTACTCCGAAGAGT